TCCTGGTGGTGGGACAATCATCATTTTTCCTCTGGCAAGCTATGTGGACAATGTGGACTTGCGTATTTGGAGAGTCAGGCATCATGGCAGGTTGGTAACACAGATGACTGGGCAAAAATATACAGCAGGTCCGGAGTGGACCAAGGGCTCAGTCATGTGGCATGAAAGGAACAATTAACAATTTACACTCACGGAATCCCTCTTCCCAGAAGAGAGATTTGAAAGACTTTAATCCTCAGATAAGACATCTGGGGCCCTAGAAGTGAAGGCAGCCCCAGCAAGGTGTAGAGAATTTACTTCCCTCTCCTTTCTTCCAAACTGCTACCTAGGTTATCCTGAGAAAAGCACTTCAGTTGGCAAAGAGATGCATGCACCTTACGCAGGGGGCAACGCTCTCCCATGCATTCATCACTGCACATGATTGGGATGTAACCCTATGAAGCAGGTAGGCTAATTGCCATTACCATGTCCGTTTTGGAGTCAGGAAACAAAGTCAGGGCAGTTAAACCATTTGTTGAAGGTTACACTTTGGGATAGGAACAGGAGCCATCTGATTCAACCATTAAGAAGGTGGACGGAAAAGGGGTCTAGAGACATCTAGGTGGGAGGGAAGGAGTCAGTCCTGCTTATCTTTGACTCTTGTTTTCTTGATAGTACTTCCATCACTGTTCTCTCTTCCATGCACACTGCCTGGGCAGCAGTGTCTCCATTGCTACGTGTTAGCCAGGCCTTCTGCTGCACCTAAGCCCGAGGATGTAGTCCATTTCCCCCCCCTTTCTGACCTCCCCACTCTGACCAAGTCCTAGGTTCCATTATACTGGACTTTGCTCTGATGAGACCTAGGCTTTCTTACTTCAAATCTAGTTTTCTCTTTTGTAACACCCAAGAAACATACTGTATGGCCAGAAGAAGCCAGAGAACAAACAAGAATTTACAGGGGTGAATTCTAGGTGGTCACTAGAAAGCCAAGTCAAAAAAAAAAAAAAAAAAAGGAAAAAGAAAGAAAGCAAGCCAAGCCATATTGTGACACTGACCTACCCAGAGACTTATTAGGTCATAGATAAAGCCACTGTGTTGGGTTTTATATATGTCCATAAATGCCTGATGTTCCCTTGCTTCTTGATTGGTATACTAGTAGCACAGGTTTGCTCAGTTTGTAAAAATTATTGAGCCGAGCTCTTATGAGCTTCAATACCTAGGAAACTGATAAGTTATGGGCTGGCTAAACAATGCACAAAAGGTCTTTCTTGTCTGAATAAAAGAGTAACAGCAGAATTTCTTTGCTTTACTGAAGCAGGTTTAAAAGGTTTTATCCAGACACAAAACCTTCTTAGGGTCATCACTACATTATTGCTTTGACCGTTTCACTCTTCTGATTTTTCTTTCTCTGCCTTCCTAAGTATAAATCGGTGAATCACTCAGAATGTAAAAATGATCTTCAAACCATTTTGACTGGATTTGCTCCAACAAAGGCTGGAATTTGGCAAGAACACACTGATAATCTTGGAAGGACAGTTTCAATCGCTGGTTCCATGTCCAATGGGCAGGACCTGGCAACTTCCTGAGTCTCCTTCCAGCTCTGGAATGCCAGTTTTATGAGACAGAAAGAACGCAGTGTATTACAGAAAAATAAAAATCCGAAATAAAATTCTAAGTGAAGTAATGTTCCAAGGAAAAAAAATAGATACACATGCATGAATATATAATGAAATTCTTTTCTGACCCACCATAGAATTACCTAATTTTGCACAGGTAGTTGAACAAAATTTCAACTAAGAAAAGACAACTAAAATGCCAGATCAAATTTCGGGCTCACAATCCGTGCCCTGTGTTCTATCTTGAAGTTACCACCATGAGGCACCGAAAAAGTAGAAACAGTCCAAAGACCAGTGTAATAATTTTCATTAGTTTCACTACGATGGGAGGCTTACAAAGGGATAATTAATTTACTCACTCAAAGCTTTACAGATAGTGAAACTTAGAACCAAGACTTAGAGAAAAAAAAAAAAAAAATGAAGGAGGTTATCTATGGCCTTAGAATAAACAGAGATTTCTGAAGAGGACGTTAAAAATTCTATCCATTAAAGATAAGCTCAATGGGCTGGCCAAATAGCTCAGCGGAGTCAAGCGCCTGCTTTGGCAGAGTGCAACAGCCAGGGCTTGATCCCCAGCACACCATGCCCCCAGCCCCGAGCACGCTGAGAGACGGTGATTAGAGACTGTGTGTGATGGCGCTTGCCTGTAATCCCAGCGATTGGGAGGCTGAAAACAGAACACTTCGAGTCCGATCTTCATAGTGAGACCCTGTAGACCCTGTCCTAAAATACAAAAATAAAATAAAAATAAAAATAAAATCAATAGAATGGACTAATTTAATTAAGAATTTCTGTTCATCAAACAAAAAATTTAAAATAATAGAATAGTATGCCACAGATCAGAAAATTTTTGTAATAAATATGTAAATCAAAGGACTCATACCCCGAGCATATGGATAAATACTGCACTTGTATCATTAAGGCAGACAACTCCCCCAAAATGGGCAAAAGACATGTACACAGGGCCAGCAAGATACTCAGTAGACTAAGTGCCTGCTTTGGCAAACTCTGGGATTGGGATTTGATTCCCAGTAGCTCATGCTGCACCGGCCCTGCCTCTGGGGCACTCTCAGCTACAACCCAATGAGTCCAGGCATGGTGGTGCACACCTGTAATCCTAACACAGGGGAGGCTGAAAACAGAAGGATCACTCTGAGTCTGAGCTGTGTAGTGAGACCCTGTACCAAATACACAAAAAGAGAGAACGAAAGAAAGAAAAAAAGACACACATGCACACTTCGTTAAAAGGGACCTGAATGTCTACTAAGGATCTCAAAAGCTGCTCAATAGGATTGATCATCAAAGAATTGAAAACCTAAATCATGACGAAACACATATCTCATTTTTAAATTAAAAAACAGACAATATCAATAGTGATAAAGATGTAGAACCACCAGGAAGGTAGGGCCAGCCAGATAGTTAAGCGGACTAAAGCGCCTGCTTAAGCAGAACACAGCGGCTGGGGATCAAAGCCTAGCCTGCCCCAGGGCAAGCTGAGAAGGTACATGGTGGTGCATGCCTGTAAGCCCAGCACTTGGGAGGCTGAAAACAGGAGAATCACTAAGAGTTGGATCTACTTAGTGAGACCCTGTAGACCCTGTACTGAAAACATTAAAAGCAAGGGAAAAAAAAGAAAAGAAAAGAAAAACACTGTGAAAGTTAGATAGGCATGTAAATAGTGAGCCAGAGATTCCAACACTGTTGTAAATTCTGACATAAATGAATACTACCTCTGCCAAGAGACACGTGTAAGAATGCTTAAGCAGCTTCACTTGTCAAAGGCAAAAACTTAAGTGTCCACCAGCAGTTGAATGACAACTGTTGACTAGAAAATAAAGTAATACACAGGCGTGAGAAAGAATGAACTGTGTTGCATACGTTTCTGAATCTCATAGGCGTACGTAAAAGACAAGATATGCACAATTTCTCTGTGTCAGAAGCCTCAAGCATGGTGAATGGTGCCTATTAGGTGAGACACCGGGAGGGAAAGCGTTTCCATAAGCCGGAGACAGAATATGGGAATGAAAGATGAACCCACAGATACACTGTGTACTTTAATGAATGTGATACTTCACAAAAGCAAAAATAAAAGAAAGCTGGATATTATATCTCAATTGGATAATATATCTCAATTGTGTGTTCAGTCAGATCGCTGTGGCTTTCCCTCCTACCCTCCTGCTGATCAATGTGGCTCTCCCTCCTGCCCATTCAGGTTCCTGGAAACTCCCCTCCCCCTCGCCAGGGAGGAGACGTGTGAGAACTTCCTGTAGCTTGGCAGATACTCAGGGTACACCTATTTCAGGCAGGAATGAAGAGGGGGAAGGGATGGGATAAATACTACATTCCCAAAGTAATATTTTCCCCAGTAACTAGTACAGGGTCAAAACAAGTTCAATATATGTTTATTTATAAATAATAATTGGCTACTATTATCTATAAATAACCCTTACCACTTTAAAGTACTGGACTAATTAATACCTTCCCACGTATTTTTAAATACTTTCATAAGCCTACAAATTGTCCCAGATAGGATGTGGAGGCTTCTGAGAGGTTAGTTAACTACTCGTCCAAGTTCTTACCGATAAGTAATGGAACTGTCAAATTAGTCGGAATTTAGAACCTGGCCTTAACGGCTCGCTGGGAAGGCACCGTGTCTAGGCCCCGCCTGCAGGTTACGTAACTTACACGCCAGAGTCCTGCGCTGTCCCAAGCAGCGGCGGCTCCCAGGACTGGTGATGGGTTTCTCGCGGTCCGCAGTCCCACTAACTACACACAGGTGGCACCTGCTGCCAGCCAATCATCTGCGCCCTTTCCGCAGGACCAGGTCTTCCCCTTCAGCCAATTTCCTTGGGTAATCAGAAAGGTTCCCAGCACCCAGAAGCCGTGCCCTTTTCCGCCTTCACGAACAGTGGGCGACTCGCTCCCCATCTCCCCATCTCTCGCCACTCCGCACTCGTGCTCCTAGGGAGAACCAGCCCGAAAATCGCCCAGAGCAGCAAAGACAAATGGTCTTCGAGACAGCAGGACAGAGATGGGGAAAGCCGGGATAGTAAAAAGTTGTACGCTAGGTTTGGCAGAAGATAACGTAGAAGGAGGCAGAAAAGAAGGTGCCCAAGTGCCTCGGAAGGGAAAAGGCGACTTCCACACAGCGCCTCTCTATTGCGCCTGCGCAGTGCTCCCGCCTGCGGGGCCCCCGCCCGTTCACTGGGAGGAAGATTTACTCGTCTCCTGGCAACCATTCACCCGGGGAGCCAATCAGAGGGCTCCGTGCGCCCTGCGTCTGGGTCCGCGCCCAGCCAGGAGGATCCCAGGGGCCCGGCCGGCTCCGCCCGGCTGTGGCTCCCTCGGGAGGGCCGGCCTCGGGGCGGGGGCAGGGGCGGGGGCGCTGGCCGGGGCGGGGTCAGGCCGGATAAGAGCGGAGGGGGCGGCGGCCGGGCGGCTCACTCGCTGCCGCTGCCCGGGGGCTGTAGTGACCGCGCCGCTCCTGCTGGGGGCTGCCCGCGCCCAGGACCGCCTCCATCGCCTGCTCCTCCAGTGCCCAGGTGCGTGCCCGGCCGCTTCCTTCCTCCTGAGTCTCGGGAGCTGCGCGCCCCGGCAGCGGGTCTGTCCGCACCGGCGCTGTCAGTCCTCCGCCGCGCGCGGCCGGACGCCAGGCGCACAGAGGTGCCGGGCGGCGCCCCTGAACCGCGCTGCACCCGCGATCGCCGCCTTTCACGTGCCGTCCCGTCCCGGGGACGCGCAGAGGCGCCGCGGAGGGAGCTGCGGCTTCTCCGGCACCGCGGCCGGGCTTTGGCAAACTTGGGCGGGTTGCCTCGGCGCGTGCTGCGGGCTGCGCGCCGGCCGGGCGGAGAGACGGGCGTCGGGGCTCCCCGTGGGGTCGGGCGACCCGCTACCTTCGCCCGCCAGCGAGGAGCTGGGGACCGGCTGCCGCGGCGCCCCTCGGGACCTGGGTTTGGGGAGAGTCGCGGAGACCCCCTCCTCAACCGTCCGCGACTCGCGCTCGCCCTGGTGCCCACCGCGGGCTGCGGAGCCACCGGGCGAATGCTTGAGCGCCTCGCGCCTCGTGGAAACTTTAGTCGAGAACGCGGTGTCTGCGGAACGGGGATCCTCCCCTTTTGGGATGCAACTTGCTTACCGCGAAGGCTAGCGGCCAGATGGAGTCCGTGACTCGGGGAGCTGCTCCGCCGGTGGCTGACGATGCGCGGCTGCCCCAGGAGGCGTCGCAGTTCGGGGACTCGGTTCGCACAAACTTTGAAGCGCCGCTAGGAGCCGGCTGGGAGGGGAGTCGTGGGAGGAGAGCTTGGAGCGCGCAGTCCGCAGCCTGCACACCTAGGCGAGGAGCCGGGCCTGGCGCCCTGGAAGCCGGGGCGCGCTCCCGGGGGAAACGCCTGGCCCGCTTCGGTCAGCCCCCAACTATCCCCGAAGATAGCTTGCTCAGGGCTGGGACCAATTCCCTGGGGGGTGGGAGACCTATTCCTTTCGAATTTGTAAAAATTGGAAATGTAACCTGTATAACATACAACGAAGTACATACACACAGTAAAGCTTTCCTAAAGGCTGTGTAGTAATCACTTGTGTTGTGACCGCTTAGCATCCCAGACATTTGGTAGGTGAGTTAGGAGACTGAACCACCCCGAAATAAAGTGAAGGTGATTGAATCCTCCTAAAGCAGATTCCTGTCTGCCCTGGCAGCCGTAGGAGTGGGGTGAGCGTGGCCATTGTTGGCTCCACAGAGCTCTTAACGTGAGTAGCTTGGCAGGACCGTGAGCCAGGAAGCAGGCCGGCTGTGGAAAGGCTGGGCCGAGACCTACCGAGGACTGCGCTGCGCCTGTGCTCACCAGAGGTATCATCTCGGACTGAGACCTGCCACGTTAGTGCCTGCAGTTGAGGAGGGTGCGGCGGGGACTGCAGAATGCTGACTTATCCTTTCAGGAAAGCTGGCTGGGCTGGATGAGCCGTGCTCCTGTCCTTTGACATGTGCAAATGCAAAACGCAGTTTCCTGGCGTCATGCTTAGTTTACTTCAGAGAGCTGAAACTTTGTTTCTTAAAATATGATTTTTTTAGCTTTAGAGTGCAGGTAAACTCTACAACCAGTTTTTAGAAAGATGATTTTGGTATAATATTGTATGTCAGCATTCAGGCAATCAAAAGTGGCCTTAAACTGACATCAACGTTGCTTTAAAGTTTTGGTTTTTTTTCTGCTAGGGAACCTCTCATTGTTAGAAAAATTCCTGATTTCTTTCTTTCTTTTTTTTTTTTTTTTTTTAAATTCCTGATTTCATAAGTAACTTATACACACATAGAGTCGACAGTCACACTCTTTATGCTTTTCCCTGTAATAATACAGAAATCTGAAGGAAAAGATTTCCTCCTGGCTTGTATGTCAGGATGATTGTGATTTAGTACAGCACCAGGGACTTGCCTTAGTGTCTTCAGTGTATCTTTACTTCCATTCTCCCTCCCCCATCCCCAGCTCTGTGCAGTCAGCGTACCTGTCCTAAATACCCTAGTGTTAAAGGCCAGGGCAGATTACGTACACCTTGCACTGCCAGAGACAGAGAATAGACTTTTTTCCCCCAAAAGTCTAAGGAATAGCTCAGCAATACAGATAATTGAAAAGTAAACGATTGTACCCTTGTTTTCCCAGGCTCATTAACTGGACTTATTTGATACAAAATTGAAAGTTATATTTATCACTGCTTCAATAAGTAGTACCTTGTCTTCAGCCTTCCTCTTTACTATTTTGTGTTGGTGGAATTAGTCACCAAAGAAAGGCAATTTGAGAGCTCTTAATGGATCTGTCAGAACCATTTTTGCAATAGGAGAGGTTGCAGAAGTCTGTGAATAGCTGCATACATTAAACTTACATTGGTTTTGGTTCCTCTACCTGCCTTTGAGCTGCATCTGTTACTTTGTGTTCCTGTTTGAGATTAGCAGGGAGTGAGGTGGGGTCTTAGGTGTTACTTAGATTAAGATATGATTCTGATTAGATAAAGTCTCTGCTTTTTTTTTCTCACTGCCATTGATATAAATAGGGCATAGAAAAATGCCTTCTGCCATATTGATTTTTTTAACCATAGTACCTTAAGTTGGCATGAATTGTATCATGGCCCATATTTAAAGATTGTTGAAATCTATTTGCACACATTCATAGAACTGTTCTTTTAGGACATTTCCAAGCCCTGAAGCTTCTCCACCATTTTTACCTGTTTAGAACACACATCGTAAGGAAGCTTATTTTGGGGATTTAAATGTTTTGGGAAAAGCATCTTTACCTAGCCCACCTATGTATGGAAACTTTATGGATTGTTTTGAATCAGTAGCTTTTGTCCATCTGCCCCCTGTGGCTTGTTCTAGAACTGTTTATAGAACCTCTTGGAACAACAGGAAAAATCCAGTGTGAAGAAATAATTGCTGATGTTAAGCAATTCTCCCTCCGTGTAGCATGTTTTTTCATCTCAGAGCATTTGAGAATCTTAGTTGCTGAATTGCACAGCATATTCTTTCTCAGATAACAGTGATCCAGTAAGAAGTTGAGCGCCTTGTGGGCAGTGGTTCGTGCCAGGTGCTGGAGGCCATGGGAGTAGTGTGGGAGGAGCAGGGCTGGCTGTAAGATGCACTCAGAGAACTCGGTTTCTCTTACTTCCCTGGCATGTGGGCGCCAGCAAAGCAGGATCAGTGTTTGGTACGGAGCCCACATGCTCAGTGGGAGCCCAAACCTGCACGCAGAAGACGTTGCTGAAGACGTGGATGCGTGTTCTGTGGGTGGTTGACAGCCATGGCTTGTGAACGGGGGCATGTGGGTGCGCTCTAGTGGGCCCATGAGCTCAGGGGAGCTTTGGGGATCAAAAGCTGCCAGCCTAGACAGGAGTATAGACCTAGAGCTCAGGACCAGTGACTGCTAATTGGCCAACAGCTGAAACTCCTAAGTCAGCTCCAGATGGGCTCCTTTATGCCCTTCCCTCCCTTCCTACCTAACCCACACCAGCCTCGCAGGGCGCGCTCAGCCTCGTTGTCTCTGTTCACTCGGTTGCTGGTTCTGCAGATTCTTTGGTTTTTATTTTTTTGTTTCTCACTGTCATCGCTGACCTGGTTGTTTGGGGGCCTGTAGATGGCAGCTCCAAGAGAGCAGTACTAGTTTCCTCAGTTCTGGCAATTCTATGAAACCAGGTAACTCAGATGCCAGGCTAACTACTCCCATCCCCTGGAGCCCCTTAGCCTCATCAACACCTGCCTCTTCCTGACTGTTCTTGGGCCTGCTTCCATGTGTATCCCCACTGTTGTCCTTTACCTGTGGAATACATGCACAGGTCATTGAAGAAGTGATTGGCTATTTGTTTGCTGAATTTTATTAATTAATTAACTATTAATCCAGCTTTGGGCCATTGGCATAGACTTCTGACCAATCTCAGCTTGTTTGAGGATACCACACCTGGCTTCTTTAGTGTTTTACAGTTCTTTTTCCACATTATTTTCTTAGTTTGAAAATTTTATCTTCTATTGGATGAGCACAAAATTCCATGTTTCCATATTCTGCCTCCTGTGAAAACATTTGCTGAAGAAAGTGACCCATGAGTTTTGAACTACTCCACCTTCATTGGCTTCTGGTTCCACTGACTTCTCTCACCTTGCTTAGCCCTTACAAGATGCATGTAGAGGTAATCCTCATCCATGCCTGGCTGCATAGCTCAACCCCAGACAGATTCTGTGGATCCTGCCCTAGGACTAAGATGTGGATGTTGGGTGGTTTTGGGCAGCTCTGGATTTCATGTGGAATAATTGTATGGGCACTGCAGTACAAACAGTAATTCTAGAGCAGGGATGAATCAGTTACTCAATGGGTACCTGGTGTGCGTCCAGGTGTTTTGCCCAGGGTTCCTCAGTTAGGAACTGGCATGGTGCTGAGTCCTGCCTCCTGGCCCTCTGTAGTGGTCTTTCTTTTCTTTTTTTTAAAATCAATTCTATTGAGAAACAAATAGCAATGAGACAGTTTCAAAACCAATTAGTAGGACAGTTTCAATAATCAATACATTGCACATTGTTGTCTTCATAGTGGTTATTCATAGTACGAGATGCAGACGTGATATCCTGTCCAAACACTATTAGTACAAATCTTCTCATTGGATTAAGAGAAAGTAGCTGTATATTTATCCTATTTTGTATATGCAGGTACAAAATGGTCATTCATTTGTATCCCCTTTTGTTTAGTTTTGCAAGAGATGGGTATTCCATTGCCATTTAAATATTGTAGGTGTGTGAATTTAGTAAAATAATCCAATATAGTCCAGTAGTCCGTAATAGTAGTGGGTTGTCTGTACGACTGGCAATGTCAGTAGTTGTGTAGTGGTCTTTCTATTCACTACCTCTTGCCTTTTGGGTTGTGGGGAGACCCAGATTCTAGTCCTGGTAGACCCTTCTTTAGGTTTCAGTTCTTTATTGTAATGAAGCAACCAACTGGTTCATGCTGTTTGACAGAATGTGAGAGATATATTAACTTACTAGTAGTCACATTAAAGAATAAATACAGGTAAAATTAATGTA